CGCATTACGCGCTCAGGCAAATATTGAACAGTGATGGTCAAACTGCATGCCAACCATCTTGAGAATAAGGAGATGTCATCAAACGGGCGCGTCACACGATGATCAGCATAGACGTCGTATCAGATGTCCTTAGCAGGCAGACGATCGAGATAGACTCTGTAAGGGTCGACCGCCTGGTTCCCCATGAGCGAGAGAAAGGCATGGGCACGCAGCATAAGCTCTGTGTAATCAAGCACACTCCCCCACCCGGCGATCATGGGAAAGTGTTGAAATATCCAAGTCTGAAATGAAAATAAAAAACATCAGGATCAAACATTATCACAAATATAGAATGAAAAGAAATGAAAAAAAGTTGAAGGGTATAAGATTGTTACTACAAGTAGTGCCACACTCCCTGCCACAATTATGGTCTTTCACACGCATCCATCTCCCAGCCTCGAATACGTGTAAGCCAGGGTAGCCGCCCCCCAATTGTACTCATGGATCCGTGTGAAATCCAAAAAGTACCTCAGGTAAGCGACATTTGTATATGTGGAGGAAGTGTTCACAAACAACTGAGTGCCAACTAAAAATAAAAAATAACATCTCAGAACACGCTACCTGTGTATCTCAACCTCAGCTGGACCACCATCTGTCTAACGTGCAGCAACGAGCGCCTCACCAAATCTACGCGTGAGAAAGAAGAACCTCACATGAGCCCCTCTGGTCTTATCCATCTCCTCAAGCGCATCTAGTGGATCAACCCTAAGCTCCTCGACCAACATCTCTCTCACATCCCCTTCGTCATCCTACCGTGACGGATGAGGGTACCCCTGATCGATATATGTAGCAAACAGGAGATGTCTCGGGGTGCCATCTCTCCTCAAAGTCCATCAGCATCCCGTTGTGGATCAGACTGTAACCGATCTCACAAAGGTCCTTCAAACTAGAGGCGACAAGGACATTCTGGAACCAAGCCTCATGTGCCTGCTCCAAAGATAATATCTTCTGCCCGTGGTTATATAACTTCTTCGATTGACGAGTCTGAAAATTTCCATAAATAAGAAACAATGGTACAAATAATAAATTTCCAATGAAAAAAAGAAACAATCTGAGTAATGTTACCTTTCCATCCCAGACATGTCCTGACAGTATGGTCAGCGTACCCTGTCAGTAAGGACATATCTGAGGGCCCCCTGGGAAACCCTCATGATCATCATCGTCGCCGTCACCAGCATCCTTCGGTGGTGGGTCATCACGCTCTGGAGGTGGCACTAGATCATTGGTAGAAGGAGGACCAGGAGTATCTCAATAAGACCTGCGGGAGGACGAGACCTGTGATGAACCCTCAGCTGAATTCTGACACCTCCAGGGTGAAGAAGTGATGGGGTGGGATACGAGATCGAGAGAATGTCCTAGGCATGTGATGAAGAAAGATGTGCCTCAACTGTATCGCCTCGGTAATGGTGGACTGCCTCCGCCCGCGTCTCACAGATGCATGTTGTGTAAGTCGTTCAAGTCGCAATTGTTAGAAAGTATTTGCGGTAGTGTTTTATCGTATCTACAGAGATTGAAGTGAATATATGCGTGCCGTTCAATAGTTTAGTAACTTAAGAATATGGGGGTTTTTATAATGGTATCAATTTTTGTGACAAAAGTTTGTAATAATAAAATCAGAACAACAGTCGATTTTTAAGTTTGATAAAAGTATGTCAAGATTAGGTTTCGTTAGTCCGTCCTAAATGTATCTATTAACCCAAAGATGTGAACGAAGTTTGAACCAACATAACCGCGTATCATCGCAAAAGCGTTTATCTCTAAATCAATTTCGTGAAAAATATGGTTTCGACCGTTAAATGATCTCTCTACCTAACACTCGAAACCATAGGCATTAAGATTGATACAAAGCGGATATCAACTTCCAAATCTATCTCTAGCATTTGTCATAGTTGATAGATGAAGATATTAGGTCAAGACTTGATAAGTTTATCTCTAACACAAACCAAATCATAAATGTAAAAATGGTAACAAATAACTTCATCTATATTGAATAACAACTTGTTCACATACATTATATTAAGAAGAATACATAAATTCTGAACCAACTACTTCTAACCTTGACAAAAGAGGTATTTAGCTACTCATTTCCATGGTCTCTTGAACAACAAGTTTCGGAAGAAGGTTGATGAACATCCGAGTCGAAGAATCGAGCTTGGATGAGAATCCACCTTCTTTTTGTAAAATATTGCTAAGAGATGAAGAAATGAGAGATTTCTGGTTTTTTAGTGAAGAAAATATGATATTAAGATAAGTGGTAAAGTTATGATCCCTATAAAGCAATATATAAAGTACAAAAGAAGCTCTGTTTGCGCCTATTCGCCAAGCGAACATCAGAAACAAGGTACTTCAAAGTGCCTTCAGCAAGCAAACCGCCCTCTGAGATATCGCGCCTTCGCCAGACGAACCTTCGCTGACTTCACTCGCTAGACGAATTTCATGCAGGTTTGCTACTGGAATAGCCAAGAGGTCTTCGCCAGCTCCTTTGCCAGGCGAATGGTAGCGAAGCTTCGCTAGAACCATTGCGTGGCGAACTTCATGCCCTTTTGGTCTGGGAGTTTAATTTGGAATTACTCGCTTGGGCTCGCCAGCACTCGCCTGGCGAATACTCGCTGAGCTTCGCCAGGCGAATGCTCTGATTTCCAACTTCTTCTGGCAGCTATGCCCCATCCCTTCCAAGGTGCTCTTACTAGTGTCAATCCTGCACACTAACAGTAACATTACAAGCACCATTCACTTGGACCAAAATAAAAATGAAACTAAGCAAATACAACTAATAATTCATGCACTACTAGATAAAAAACAAGTAAAAATACTACTAAAAAGAGACCAAATAAATACTATAATTGGTATCTAACAACTCTCCCCAACTAACTTATTTGCATGTCCTCAAGCAAAGTATGCCTCTCAAAACAAAAAGGAGGATTTGCTCATGAACCAATTCAATCCAAGTGAAAATATTTGGCTCAAACACCAACAAGTGCAACAAGGCAAAAAGTTACACAATCCCACAATAGACAATGTACAAGAACTTGATTCTAAAAACAATTCAAAACTATGCTTCCAAGAACAACTAAATCTCATGACATGTCATTCTAACACTCCACTTTGAAGAAGGATTGAAGCAAACGCGCATGCAAGCGCGGGACAAAAATTCACTCAAATGACAAACAATGCAATACTACACAATTCATACAATATCTAAATGCTCACAACAAAATTATGGAAGTTAAAGATCACATAGGACTTAAAGGGTTGTAGCTTGGTCGGGTTACAACAAAGGGTCATTTATAAGGCCATCGAAACGAAATTGTCGATGCTTAAGAACACTCACTATACAAGTATTTACAACATCACCACTTCATTCACCAAATTCTTTCAAATGCAAACCTTCATAAGCTCCCTTGCACAATTATTTCTTTCCTTCAAGCAAGTATACTACTTTTTTTTTCTTCTCTTTTTCATTTTTTTATCTTTAGATAAATTCTCTTTTAATCCAATCTTTGTTCACACCTCTTATACACAAACTTGCCTGAAGGATTTACACAATTTTATTTTTTTCCGACTTTTTTCGTTCTCCCCAACTTAATTCCAACTCAACCCAAAGTGAACGTTCCAAGCTTCTACGGCAAGAAAAGCAGTTTAAGCATAACTCAGGGTTCATGAAGAAAACAAACATTAGAAACTCACAAAATGAGCTTTAAACAAGAAGGCTCAAAAGGGGCTAACAAAAGTCACACTCCTTACGGGACGTGTATGGGAATGGTTGTGCTCAAAACAAACAAGTGTCTTGATCCTCTCTAAAACTTCCACAAAATTATAAAGAACAAAAGATAAAACATGAATTATAAGTATACACAAAGTTCATCATCAATCCATAACATATGTACAAGCAAAGGGAGGATTCTCACATTTGTGATATAAGACCTAAATGACATATCAATACACAAAGTTGCAACAAGAGTCAAAGTTAAGGAAAATGTACAAAGAATAACAAGTTCTAAAACATTCTAAATTCTAGAACAAGGTAACTAAGTACCTTGTTAACAAATTTGTGAGAACGATAATATCATCGCCATCCCACTTGAAAGAAATTCTTGCATATCTACAACCACCTTTGAATAAAACTTAAAATAAAACTTAAACAATAAATAAAAAAATAACTCAAAATACTAAAAATAATGCTGAATAACTAAAATGGTGTATAACACCAACAATGCCACAAAGTACCTTAAAAGGTGCAAGTACAAACATGAAATACACTAACCAAAGTACATAACAAAACAATTAAACGGAAATACAAGAAAAACTTCACTTTGTAGCATAAAGGAAACAACAAAACATAATAGAAATCACTCCTCCTCCTCGGACATGTCAAAGTCATCATCATCGCCGTCATCCTCACCATCATCAACATCT